CATCAGAATTGCATAATGATGGCAACTGTCCACTACAGATAGTTCTACCTTTAAAAAAGATTTTATTAAACAGAATATATTTTTTTCAGGCATTCCAGTTCTTTTTTAGGAGCAGTTGTCATTTCAGACATACCTACATTACTCACTCATAGTCCTGACGTTCAGTTTATTTTTCGTACTTTTTAGCCCTTTAAAATACTGTCTAGTGTACTTGCAGATTTCCATATGAATTCATAAGCTGATTGGGGGAGGGACTTAGTTCTTTGTGTACTTGAAAGGGTTAAATTCATTACATGTAATAACAGTAGTTAAAGGGGGAAAAAAAAAATTAAACACTCTTTTCTAACCCCAGGTGAATGCAACTAATACAGACAAAGCACCCAAGTTTGTGGTTGATTGTTCTGGAAAGTAAACCTTCTGTTTCTAAGAACTCTTCCAGCAGCAAACATAGACACAAATTGTTGATCACCAATAAATATTCCACATAATGTGTTGTAAATAACTGACCTTCTCTCCTTTGATGCCAGCAACACCCTGGGGAGAAGAACAATCATATTATTAAAACAGAAAAGTAAAAGAGACAATGGTGAAAGGATGCATTAAACACTCTCTTGAGCTGAGTGCTCTTGAAGTGATTCATTTTCATGGACACAGTGTATAGCCAGGTACATGTTTACTGTGCCAGACTTCAATTTAAGAAGAAAGAACATATTGTTAAAAAATAGTCCAATCTCACAGTTACAAATCTAAAGTGAAGGTGGAACAGTATTGAAGCCTGACCTTAACAAATAAATAAATAAATAAAATCAGGAGAGCTAGTAAAGTAAAGATCATGTTTAGAAGTGGTTAGATTTGAAGCCACTGGAATTTGACAGACAGCATTTCTTTTCCATTTGTTTAGAAGTTTCTTTTAAAAACACATTTCTACAGAGCAAAAACAAATCCTAGGGTTAAAGCAATGCACCCAGAATGAGAAGTTCTGGGTTTAATTCCTGGTTCTTATTGACTTAATTAGGCCATATCCTCAAATATATTTAGCCATGAACTGAAACTGCCATCTATTAAATATATATTGGACACCTTTAGACATGTAAGTGGTAAATTTTCATGAGTATCCCTTGAGACACTAAAGGGCTAACACCAGTCAATGAATTTGCATGCACCTATTACCTAAGAAGCTGAGGCCCAACATGCAGCTGATGAAGTATTACTTTTAAATTTGGTTTCTTTACCACACAGTTTTCATATTAATAAAATGGGGATACCTATATATTTTGACTGTTGTCAATACCAGCTAATGTGAGGCTTTACACTCCTTCAGTGAATGGTTTTATGCGGTAGCAATGCACACAATCATGAACTTCACAGACACCTACTGGAATGCCTGGAGCACCTCTTCTACCTGGAGGACCTGGAAAACCTTGATCGCCCTGAAAATAGTAAAAGTGACTGTTAGTGCATGTTATTGTTTAATATTTGGTCTGATTTTAGCAAATGTGATTACAAAAGAACTTTCTTATGTTATCATACTAAAATTGTCAGTTGCATTACCACCGTCTAGTGGTGGTAAAAGGGGTACAGCCTCACTGTATGGGTCTTGACTTCTGTCCCAGACACCGGGCTTTGTTAGCTATGTCAGATCAGTTCACTGTTTCACTAGAAATGTATGATTTTCTGTAGTAGGCATTCTTCTGGCTCCTTCTTTCAGAATGCTGGAAGCATTTGCTCATAGAGCAAAGAAAAACTAGTAAATCTGTAACTTAACATTAAGCCTTTTCTTTTAATTGCTTTCAGGACTTACGAATTGTCAACTGCAAGCTAGATACTGGTGCAATAAAATTAACTATCTATCTCTTCTATAACCCGTTTCAACAGAAGGACAGGTTGGACAAAACTGATCAGGTCTTCTGGATTTAATAAAGTTTTATCTGTCAAAATATCAAACATCATTCTTAAGTTCTCAGCAAAGGCCATTAACATGTATTATTTAATTATCTATCTTACACAAAAAGGCAGCACTTTTCCTTCCTCTAGCCTCATGATTCAAATTTTTCCTAGTTGATAAAGTCACAAACTAAAACAAATCAAAGTTGTTGTATATCAGGGGAAAATCTCAGAATGCTTTTTGGCCATTCCTAAGCATAGCCAAACACAATTTCTGCAACATTCATTTGGTTTGTACCTTTGTGCCATTGCATCCTGGAACACCCGAGCGCCCAGGAGGACCAACAGTTCCCGGTTCACCCTAAAAAGAAGTGCAAAATTGACACAAGCTTTGTTTTTGCACATTCATATTACCCTACAGCAACATTGAAAGAGTTTATGTTGGAGCAGTGTTTCACAAGACTTGACAGATTACAATGTGTTCTTAAATCATTACAATGAGTAAGAATTGCTGATGCTAAGATTTTTATCTCTAGGCTAATTGACAGAGACAATGCTGATGTTCAGACTAGAGTGAGCACACTGGGCTGATGATAATTGCGTACTGAAGACTGTAGTGAAAGAAATGGTTAAATCAGTTTCGTTTCTACTTACTGGAAGGCCTGGGGGACCTGAAAATCCAGGTATTCCTGGGACTCCCTAATATATAAAAACAGAGGAATAATATTACAAATATTAAGCAAAAGCTCATGATGCAGTTTTGATCGCATTCATAAGAATGAATGCAAGTATGATTCTATCAAAAGGTCATTATTTCCTTAACCCTTCTGACTGTGAACCAAGTATAATGGTAGTTTATGCACTGTTAACATAGGCTGGTTTTGCCCACAGAAAAAATCCCAAAACAGCTCTTTATGGAATTCCAGTCTGATTTTTCCATTGCATACCCCAATACTAAATATATAGAGCATGAACTTTGTACATAAGGTGTAGCAAAAAAAGGCAAAAGTTCTAAAAAAATAGATAATGCATGTGCATAGTCCATGTCACAAATTTTAAAAATACTTTAAAATCATATATAATGTTTTGGTTTTATTTTTCACAAATTATTGAACCAAGTTGGCATTTAACATGACATTTAATACATACAAGGTTGTTTAAAACACAAATACTTACTCGTATACCTTTAGGTCCAACTAAGCCTGTAAGCCCTGGAGAACCCTAGATCACAAGTGGAGAACAACGTATTTCAATATAACTGAGAAAAAGCAGATATATGTCAACACAATGTGCAATATTTTTAATACCAATAACAACATGTGCACATGGAACTATATAAATAAATAAATAGTTTGCCTATTATAGACACTAAAGCAAACAGGCATTTAATACAACTTGCATAAATTGTGGTGTCTTGTCCTCCCTTTCACTGTTTACAGGGGATATATCATAGAAACACAGAATGGTTTGGGTTGGAAGGGACCTTAAAGATCATCCAGTTCCAACCTGCCTGCCATGAGCGGGGACACCTTCCACCAGACAAGGTTGCTCAAAGCCCCAGCAAACCTGGCCTTGAACACTTCCAGGGATGGGGAACCTGTTTCAGTGCCTCACGTCCCTCATAGTGAAGAAATATATATGATATATCTCATCATAGGTCAAAAAAATAACCGTCAGGGTATGTTGAGAAAGCAGTTGCTATGGATCTGGTCAAACTGTGATGAGACCTGCAAGGTCCCTGTGAGGAAATAGCTGGAAGGCGCCCAGATATGGGTGACGTCCATGTAATGACCAGGTATATCCATGTACCAGCCACTGTCACCTGCACTGTTGTGCATGAAAATGAAAGCCAGGAGCAGGCTGAAAGGGGCATAAGCAGGATGGGAGAGCAAGGCTGATAGAAGACAGCAAAGCATGCCACAGCACAGTTTAGACAGAACCTGCCAGAATTGTTTCAAGACGCTTAGAGCTTTACTGATAAGAAACTTTTCTCGTTTCCAGAAAGGAAACGGGGAATGTACAGAATTGCATAGCTCCTAAAATCCTGGGTGACATTTCGTTTAAGATAATGTACAGGCATTGAATAGGAAAAGCTAACTGGAATCCACTATGATAGATGGCATTCAGGCTAACAGAGATGTTCTTGTTACATAAATTATCCTTACTTTTTGCCATTCTTGCGGAAGTTATTCTCACTTATAAAGAGGAGATGCTCTACTAAACACTTTTCAATATGTTCAAATAAATGGCTTATCAACATGTATGAGATTCACCATGAGTATCAGTTCCACAAAGTATTGTAATAACAAGATAGGACAGAATAATGCAACAATACCCAAACAAATTAAAACTATAAACTCCATTTGTTTAAAGGTATGGATAAGTGCTGAAGCAACATTAGTGCAGATCCTAGACATAATGTGATTGTGGCAGTACTTTCCTGATTCATACTGTGGCTGAGATCATGCCATATTTAAACAAAAATAATTTATTCACCAGAGTCAATTTAATCAATGATAGCAGGAGTGCTCTTCCTCAAGACAAATATAAATAAAATGGGTTTTAATGAGCAATTTATTTGTGTTTTCTGCTCATGCAGGAGTCATTGAAAATTCATATTAGGCCTCAGTTTAGGCATATAGGAAATAAAGCAAGCCCAAGCCACCAAAGCTCTCTCTGCAGGCAATTAGGCATTTCCTAAACAGACCAAGATTTATCTTAAAAACCATCTTTCCCTTCAAATTTTCTTAAATCTATTTTTCATACTTGTCTCAGTAGTAGCTTGTTTCCTCTCTTTCCAGCAATAAATGTCAGAGTACACTGTTAAGACACAATTGACGTTGCCTCTAGCAGTTCAGTCCAGGTGCTTTAGCGCTGACCAATGGACAACCGACAACAAAAGCCCATGTTCACATCAGCTGCTTCGATACAGTCAAAAATGACCATTGCAGCTGGTCACCACACAACATCCCTCACCAAATAGCAGACTCTGAAACAGGTTTTGGTTTGTTTTTTTTAAAACAGAATTCTCTACCCAGTCATAGCTCACTTTCACAGTCAAGCACAGTAGCTTCTCTGTGTCTCTCTCTGTCCCATACACACCTACCTTTGGTCCCTGTGGCCCTGGAGGCCCTTCTGGACCAGGAAAGCCTCTATGACCAGGTGGACCTGGAACACCAGGAAAGCCTTTTTCACCCTGTAAACATTAAGAGAATGAAGTTCTTAAAACATCCATGAATTCTCCTTTTGATAACTTATTTCTATGGCATTCATACTTTCAGTACCTCTTAACTTCTACATATCTGTCTGCTACTGTTGCAGATATATTACCCTTGCCCATACTGACCTGTTTTGTGGTCCTGCCTATGTGCTGTCTAGGCCACATGGTACCACTGAAGTAACATGCTTGTAAGTATGGCTGAAGATACCAGGAGACAACAATACTCCAGATTTTGCAGAGTACAGAAGTTAATTGCCAACATGAAAAGTTTAAGGAAGCAGCTGATACATATTCCTTGTTAATATCTCTATATGTGTTTAGTCTCTACAAGCAACACAAATCCAAATCCATCACAGCAGCCCTAATTTGTAGTTGGCAAACTTAATGGTGGCTGCTGCTGTACAGCCAGGTCAGTTCCAAATGATCAATACCTCTCATCATGCAAGCTATGGAAAGAAACAGTGGGAGTCAAACGCAACAAAACCATTCAGATAGAGTAAAAGAAGTTTGCTTTAAGTGACAACTTTTAAAAATCGACTCCAAGTCTCAGAGATAAAGACACTCAATTACTTTTTCATGTGTTGTTAAGGTCAAGTTCAAATAACCAAACCATGTAAAGTAAACAGAAGATTAAAGCTACACAAATAGAATACAGGAGGCTAAGTTACAGTGGAAGGGGCATTTTCAGTTTTTTATTTAAATATAATAAAGATGCGAGTCTTATCTTGGTTAAAATAAAATGCTTCAAGCCTGGAAACCTCACAGAAAAGGTGTTTCAGCTGTTTAGACAGCAGCAATTTAGCATGCTCAATTTTACCTCAGTGAAGAGCTGCCTATTCAAGACCTTTTACATCACAGCATAACATGGGAGAGAGAGGATGGGGTTATTGATTCTCTCAGAGTCAATTTTCCTATTACTTTATCAGAGGAGAGTTATACAAAAAAGCATCTGAAATTTTGCTATGGAGAAGTTCCGGAATCTGATTATTCCATGTACAAGATAGGATCCAAAAGAAGTCTCAGGGAAGCCAAAATACCTTGGCTTGTCCCTCCACTAATTCTCACTCCTCAAAAATCTCACAAACTCACCAGATTTTAAATAGCTTCTGAATAATAATAATAAAAAAAACCAAAAACAAAACCAAAAACATAAAGACAGAATATAATCCCAGAATATTTTAACACAAATCAAAATAAGAATTGCATTATGAAGCACCTGTGAGATCTGTATCATAAACCGGCATAATTTTTTATAACAAATCGTTTATTTCATCCACCGTCATCCCAAGGCAAAAAAGGATAATGCTATACCAAGAGAAGCCACTGGAGGGGGTGTGGCACTAACTGACAGGAAAACGAAAGTCCTTCATCTTCCTCCCCTGAGCTTGTTGCCCTCTCACTGAAGCAAGCCATGGGGTGCTCTCCAGATACAGAGCTGCACTGTGCTCTCCTGACAGCTTCGCTACTCTCCATACAGTACAGGCAATTTTATCCACACCTTCTTCTTGGTAGATCAACAAGATCAGAGGATTCTCAGGTTGGAGAATTTCTTAACATCCAATAGTTACCAAACCATATTGATTAATGTAATTGTCCTGACTTTCCAGCACTGCCTGAAAAACTTCATCAGCATAAACTGATGATAATATAAAATTATTAACTCTTACCTACTAGTTGCTCAGTTGCTTTAACATGGAACTGATGAAGACAAGTTGCAGGTGTTCATTCTTATTAATATTTCTCTTTTAGCAGACAGCTTATTTTTTTCTAATTTTTCACCTGGTCTCAATTTTACTGGTTAGGATAAAGTCTGTTTACACCAACTAAGAACATGAAAAATAAGCGCTGAGATTTTACTAGACATGAGTATCCTCCTTTCCCACTTATGAAAATATGTTTTAATAATGAACATATTTACCTTGAGAGAACTTTTCTCCAACACTGAAATGAAGCTTTCTAAAAGCAAGACTAGCAGTGTTTTCTGTGCTGCAATACGACATTTTTTCTTGGTAATGAAAGTATAGGAGGAAAGTTGTGAATAATTCTTTACCAGCCAGATGTGTCGATCAGTGGGACTAATCGCAATCCTAAGTCTATACAGACATCTGGAATCTACTGATAAGGTTTAGTATGGCAATCACTGCTTCCACAGTTAGCCTGAATTACAACCATGACTTCTTTAATAATGCCCCTTTCATTTGTGAATCAGTTGTTTTTCCAACTACAAGCAGGAGTTTGAAAGAATTTTTGGCATTCATGTAATTCAGGTTTGTCTAAAAGCCGCTCCGAGCCTCTGCCAAGCTACTGTTGGCAACAGGCAGAGCTGTGGCTCTGTTACTTTTGACGGATTTGATGCTGTTCCCTTACTGCTGGCAAGGTCTTTGTGATTAGGACCCAGAAACTCAACTCCTGTCTCGATCTGCAGGAGATTTATCTGTCTGATTGCCTGCGCACATAGCTTTCCTTCAGGAACCGGAAAAGGGGGGAGAGATGGGCAATGTCCAAAGATGGAAAGAGGGAAGCACTGAACATGACGCTCTTGACGGCATTATGAAATTTGTAACAGGAGAGCTGCTGCCAGGGTAATCATATCTGTGGGCATTTCTTAGGAGTTTGTGAAAGGGACCTAGTGCTTTGGATAGTTGCTCTATTGGTGTATAAACATCATGCAATGCTGTAAACAAACTAATACATTTAAGAAAAATAAATTAAAAAGTCTTAAACAGAGTTATTTTAAAAGACTTTTGTAAGGTAATATATTCCTTTTACAATTCTCTGTAGACCCTGTTGACAGAATACCATCACACAATAAATTCACTCATTGTATCAACTCAACTAATGTATAAACAATTTCCAGGTATAAACTAATCTTAAGAAAGGAAAAGTGTATTTGTTCTCACCTTATTACCTTTCATGCTATCACAGAAGCAGGGACTTTTACCTTTGCATACACAGCTCTGAAAAACAAAAACACAAACTTTATTATAAAATTATTTTTCTCATTGTGTTGTTTGGTGAGGGGCAAATGAGACCTCAGTGGTTTTAGTAAGGTAATTATTTCACAGATAATACAACTTTAAAAAAATGTTCGTGAAGAGAGGCAATTCTCAACAGCAGAAAAGAGCTCATTATTCATCTGTACTGTCTTTTGAGACAGATAAGGGCACTGGTTGAATTTTATAGTTGGGGTAAAGGCCAAGAAGCCATGCTTAATACCACCAGAATTATAATAGCAGTATGAAGTATAAAATTCAAGAGTTCGGGCTCACAGCACTAAACATTGATGATTCTATAAAAAACTTGCTATAGAAACAAACACATACACTGATATTGTTTTAGATTAGAATGATATTCTTTTTATTTTAATCAACAGTTTTCTGACTTTTTGTATCTGCGTTCACCTCCTGACCCTGACTCATGGTACCTAATACAATTACAAAGGACTCTCAACTTTGCTGTTTCTTAATTCTGGAGGTTTCCTGAGCTAAGCTGTGTGACAGTGGGTGCCCTCACACAGGGACATCCCCATTCCTGCAGCAAGTCCTGGGCTGTAGCTGCTACTTGCATGTCTGTGTCTTCAGATGAGCCTGGAGTTGAAAGCCCTCCCTGGAGGGCTGAGTGTTGCTCTGTAGCATCCAAACCTCTCTTTGAGTTTGTGACCTTTACTGCCGGAGTATGGCATGGCTATCTGGGAGCAACTACAATTTGGGAAAATTCAATGATTATCAAGTATGAAGAGATATTCAGGTTTTTATTGTTCGCACTTAACTGAAAACAAACAAACCAACCAACCCAAACAACGATATTCAGTATGTAACTGGATAGACAGCATGACTAAATTAGCCAGCTCGTGCACTAGGTAGTGGTGGTAGCACGGAGCTCAGCAGAGCTGCAAAGCACATCTGAGATCCTGGGTGAACGTGAGAACACTTAGCCCTTCTGTGCCCTATTTCTGCTACAGCTGTCATGGACTCAGTAGCTCAGCTAGCCCAATCTGGCTGGGACAACTCTGCAAAGGACTTTTCTACACTCATGTAGAGAGATCCTATTTCAGTGGAGCGGAGGAAAAATCCTTTGTTAACATAAATATTATACATACTAAAATATCACTGAAGTTATTGAAGCCATGTATTTCATAGAGATGCAGAGTAAACTGCATTTATTGTTCTTCTTTGTACACTTAAATTCTTTCCTTTGGTTTTGAAGCTCTTGCTGAATGACTTCTTCCATTGCACTGCTGTAGAAATACACTTATTTTTCAGCTTATCCTCCCACTTTAGTATATATGTTTATCACAATGACCATATACTATGTTATAGTTACAGACAGTAAGGGACAACTATCCCATATTGGTTATGAAGATACTTTCCTAAGTTGCATAAAATTCAGAAAAAAAGGAAGAACTGTATTTTTTCTTATAAGATTAAAGCCTTTAAGATGGTATGATATGAAATATCTATTTAGATCTTGAAGACAGAATTAATTAATCCCTACAGCTGGTCATAATACAACAGAAGCATTGTTCTAAATCTGTAACTTTTCCAGTGGTGTTCTCAAAAAACAGAAAACAAAAGACAGAGGAAAAAATGTTCTCCATTACATTTTAAAATGATAAAGTCAGATTGTCATTGAATTTAAATTTTCTGGTAGCAATCTGTTCAGGTAAAACATTTTGGACAACTGAAAAGCATCTTTTCTTCCCACAAGCTAGGATCAATTTCTTCTCTATCACCCAAAACTGAGGTATGTAGTATCAGCTAGCTGCCTTGATTTCTTACACAGTTCCTGGTGTTTGCCTCTTTCCTTTGACTACACAAGGAAAATTGACATCTAGTTTGGAACAACTCATGCAGTTTCTTTAGGTGCCTCTTTTAGGATGGAGGAAAGATGCTGCAAGTACTTGCTGTTTTCTATGGACTAGACAATTACCAACAGTAGCTGCCTGTCTTTTAGAAGGCTGAAGTTAGGTGACATGA